TCCGGGGTTCATGCCCACCCCCAGACCCAGCCCCGCTACAGGCCCCCCCCCACCCCGGCTTTCCCACCAGTATGGAATCCTCACCTGGGCAGGAGTGGGGGGCCGGGCAGGGGAGCCAGTGGCGAGTTCGGGCTGCACGGTGGCGACGGTGGCCGTGGGTGTAAAGATGAGCTGAGGGGACAAAGGAACAGTGCCTCCTAGGCTCCTAGCTACCTGCACCAGGTCACCTGGCTGGGCCTGGAATCACAGGAAACGAGGTGCCTTTTACCTGCCCGACGTGGGCGTGGCCAGGACCCGCAGTTCCGCCAGGGAGCAGCTATGGGGAGAGCTAGGGAGGGGGAACAGGGAGACAGCATCTCCAGGGGCTCGAGGCTTCCTGGCCCCCGCAGGCGCTGAAGTGGGGAGCAGCTTTGGGACTGCACCGAAGTTGAGCTGCCTTCTGAACCCTCTATGAGGGGCCCCTCCTGCAAGGCCCACTGCTCCCTGGGCACCGTGAACTCACTGACTCCTCAGCATCTAGGCTGCGGGACCCTGAGCCAAGACAGATGCCCTAGGGCTATTTTCTAACCTGACCAGACCCGGAAAAGGGATCGAATGAGATGTATTCTTCGGTCAGCTTCCACTTGAACTTAGATTCAGACAGAGTGACAGCAACAGGGGAGGGGCCACACCTCCTAGACCTGCCTGGCCTGCATCTAGCTCCGTAGGAATGCGGGTCATGTGACCTTCCCTTGCTCTGCATCAGTATGGCAGGCTATGATCCTGACAGGCCTCTTCCTAGACTCTGACGCTGCACCCACAGCCATACTCTGAGTGGGTGTCCCCCTCTGGGGAGGAAGGCAGACAGAGGCCAGGAAACCTGCTGGGGTCTGGGTGGTATCTCAGGGTGGCTGCTCAGTTCCCTAAGAGATGAAGTCTGTCCACACTGTGGGTCTAAGCAGCTACTCCCTGGGAAAGGGTGTGGCTCCAACAACGCACGCAGAGCCAGAAACACACACGTGGCAGCGCGGCCCAGAAAGGCTCCAAGGGACAAGTTTTGGCCAGGAGGGCAAGGGATGTAAGCGTGTGCGCAGGCTTTTCCGAGCGTTCGTGGAGAACATGTATTATGGAAAAGCTACATATGAATTTCAGAATTTTTTGCACCAAAATAAATTAATACTTCAATTCCATTTTCCACAAACTTTTTGAAGTCCTCCTGTATTGTCTTCAGGATGGCGTGTGAAGGGACTGAAGGGAGAAATCTCAGAGCAGGGGTCCGAGGTATGCCTGACAGTGGTCTGGCCCGACCTGGAGCTACCGTCATTGCCTCCCGGGGAGGAGGCTGCTGTGTTCCCAGAAGGCCCTTCTAAATCTCAGGAACCTGTTAGGTCCCTAAGGACCTCTGCACCCCTTCAGGTGCAGAGAAGAGGTTAGGTGTGCACGTCTAGGTGCCAGCCTGGGTGCTTTCTGCTCAAAGGGGCTCCCCTGATTCTGGCCAGAATGGGCGCTGGAGCTGGACACAGCAGTCTTGCAACTGCCTGTTGGAGCCTGGATGCCTGTGAGCCTGCTTCTACCATGCCTGAGTGTCCAGGGCCACCTGGGCACAGACCCTCGTAGTCCGCCCTCGGTGATTTTGTGCAGTGTCTGAGAAGGGCACAGTTCCGTTTCACTCCAGGAGGAGAAGGCAGGCGGCCTCGCGGTGACTCTGTTTCAGCCTACAGCACACCCTCGAGCCGCTGAGCCCCAGGCCCACCCTCCGTTG